TGCTTGTGGTACAATCCATATTATAAAAATAATCATATTCTGTTAGCACAACTTCTAGAATGTTTTAATTTTCATATATCCTTAAATATGAAATATACTGTATAAGTAGAGCAAATACAAATGTAAATTTAACTAAGAAAGAGTATATAACAGCACAGCACATAACAGTTATAAAAACAGGTCAGTTAACTAATTAAATTACAAATCTACTTTTTTAAAACAAGTTGCAGGAATTTCTAATTACTTTTAACTAATATCAATAAAACTTTAAGATATTCACAAGTATTTATGCAGGTAAAAATGTTTAATTAAACTTTCAAGGCTAATAAATAATCGTAATAATATAATGGAATGGTTGTAAAAAGGTTAGGGTGTTGCTTATGCCTTATAATTTGCGATGGTGATGGTGAATGAAGTAGTACCAAAATCAGCATTGAGGTTACATGGAAATATTAGTATTAAAAGGAGCTATATTTTGTAAAGTAGCGATTATCGTGACGAGGCTTAATTTGGTTATTTGAATTAGTAAATTAGATTCAGCTTCTGTTAGAATAGTACTTCCTGTAACTAAATTGATATATTAAATTAGATTTAAAAAAAATTAAATATAGAATTTGATGCCTTTGTCACTAGTAATGGGTAAATACAAGACGAAGACTTTCTCCCTTGGTCTCGGTCTTGGTTCAAGACTCTTGCAAATCTTCTTTACTTTAAGTAAGTAAGTAGTTAATTTTAAGTGCCTCAGTTAAGTGGTTCTAGTAACCCCTATATCTTTTTTATTTTTTTAGATAAAATTACGAGATTTGGTATGTTAGTAGTTAAGGCATAAATAGGATTGATTGACGTATTCAATTGTTTTTGGTCACTTCCTGTTTCACCGAAAATTGAAAAAAATATTTTCTAATTTATTCGATAGAAAATGACACTCCGAATAGAATGGCATATAATATGTCAAGTGAATAACATATGATATAGTCATTTTCGCAAATGGTTTATTTGTTGTAAAATAAAAAATGTTGTAAAAATTGTAACATACCAAACCAGACAGTTTGACTCGAAATACCAAGTGTGTGGTAACAAATTATTTGGAAAAAAATGCTTTTTCCAAATATACTAATGAGCCACCCCTGTTCCTTTTGAAAAAATTGAAATATTATTAAAAATTAGGCATCTTTTAACCGGCCAGGAAAAGACACCAAAACATTAGACGATAAAATATTTTTTTCTAAAGCCCCTTGATTAAAAATTGGGGTTTTTAACACAGCTATTTCCGAGGGATATCTCACGTATCTTCTTTGCAGTTATTGGCAATTACTATTGGCAGTAAAATGATATTTTGGCTGTACATGTACATTTTTTGCCGAAGTGAGACACCCTTCGGCCATGGCATTCTAGATAGAAATTTAAATGATTTGTTTTTAAGCAAAAATGTCAAAAGTTGACATATGATATGTAATTCTATTCAGATAAAAACATGTATTAACATATATATAAATAACAACGACCAGAAAAAGAGTACTTATATTTTTGTGAAAGTACTTAAAACTACCCATAAAGTACATGCATATTTTAAACGGTTCGTGCGACCAAAATACGGACATAGTTGTTTAACCTGCAATTTGAAAGCACTAATAAAATTTTGTTAATTGGTAGAAAGGATAATTTTGTTAAAATGTCCACATATGCTAATACAAATGTGTCCCACATAAAAACCAAAACAAAACAAGACGGGTTTCTTTTTTTTAAGTGAATGTCACTTTCAAACTATTTTTCAAATATATATGTACCAAAGAAAAAATACTAAATTACTATGTCAGTTTACCAACCTACTCCAGTACTTTAATACACAATATAATATATTAAAACAGCATAATGTGATCGTTTAGACATGCTACATATAACCTAGGAAACTGTTACAATGTATATCAATAAATGTATTTGAAGATTTGTTTCTACAATGTTGGTATGTATAGACTTATATACATATATTCAGGAGTAACTATCATGACTTTAATATCTATAACTGAGGCTGAGTAACTTGTGAAACTGAGCAGAAGAAATCTTAAGACAATAATTGTAGGAATATGTACTGAATATTAAAACATCAATTAACAAAGAGAAGGACGAAACCTACTCTGGGTGCCAGTAATAAAAAGCACATGATCTAGCTAAGAAGGAGCTAACACTCCATGAACTGAACTAGAAGAACCGTTCTGCTTCCCAAGTTGAAACCAATTTAAAGCGGAACCAAGAACCTGGAAAACTCTATCCGTAACCCGGAATGGGAATTCTCCAAGCGTCTAAAATATTCGAAGAAATTTATCAGAACTTATGTTTTTCTAAATCACTTTAAACACATTGGGCAATTTAGTTTTCTAACTAAGCCATCACTATCCTGGAGCTGGTGGGCTTCGATGTAGATGTACTGATTGAGCCTCTCTTCATGTCTTAAGGCATATTTCCTGATATATGACGCGTGACGTTGTCTACATCATCCACTTCTTTCTCAGGACTTATGACCGAGAAAAATGTAATATTTTCTCTGATTTAAGTAAGAACAATCTTTGGATTGCCACGGAATTTTTAATAGGAAATTGTCTCCTTAATGAACACCTCAGTAAATTGAAGCTAAACAACGGTATATGCAGATTCTGTGGAAAATGGGGGAACACCAGAAAACCTCGTTACTGAGTGCTGGGACTGTATGATAAGTTTTAACTCAAGAAAGTGGGACACAATAGATCAATAAAGTCGCGGTGATTATCTTCCCCCCTCCTATTCATTCAAGGGGACACACATAAGAGTCTACAAGAGGACAAATCGTGAATTTCGTATTGAAAGAGCACTTAGAGTAGATTAAACAGCATGAAGAATTGATATAATAAATCTAGGTGCAGTTGAGTTAAATACTTTGATTTAAAACAGCAAAATGGAACACTACTTCACCAAAGTACGTACACCAAAACTCTTTACTTTAAACTATGGATACGCATTGGGCTCACCATGTTTTTAAGATCAAGTATCCACAAACTCAGCTCCAACATCTGCTGATGATGCTAACATGGTTAGCAAAACAGGCATACCGGATGCATCTCAAAAGTGGCTCACCCCTATAACTTTTTTATTTTTTCAGTTAGAAAAACGAAATTTGGTATGTTAGAGTAGAGGGAGATGGCCGATTCTACGCCAGCCGGAAGGAGCCGGAAGTGACGTCATGTGACGTCATGTGACGTCATCAGCTAAGAACGTGTAAAATAGGCTAATAAACAAGAATAAACAGGTTCGAACAGCTTTGAAGCGCTTTAAAACAGAAATAAACGGGTATGAACAAAAAATGAACAGGTCTGTTGTTTTAAGCTAAAAAGCGGTTCATAGTTGTTCAAAAACGGTTCACAGAGGTTCAAACCTGTTTATTCTTGTTTATTAGCCTATTTTACACGTTCTTAGCTGATGACGTCACATGACGTCACTTCCGGCTCCTTCCGGCTGGGGTAGAATCAGCCATCTCCCTCTACTTGTTAGTATATGACATAAATTAGAATTGAATCGCGTATTCATTTGATTTCGGTCACTGCCCGTTTCACCGGAAATAACTACAACTTTTGATTTTAAATGGCACCCTCGGTATTTTTTTTACTTTATTCGATAGAAAATGACACTCTAAATAGAATCACATATCATATGTCAACTTTTGACATTTTCACATATGGTTTATTTCAAATTATAACTTGCGGTTCTTAACGAAAATTTGACTCGAAATATCAAGTGTGTGATATCAAATTATTTTAAGTAAAAAAATGCTTTTTCCCTCGCTTTTTCCAAATATGCTAATGAGCCACCCTCGATTTGAAAAAATTGAGATATGATTAAAAAATACAATTTTGGAATCTTTTAACCGGCCAGGAGAAGACACTAAAAACATTAGATGATGAAATCTATTTTTCCAAGGCTCCTTGATTAAGAATTAATGTTTTTAACATGGCCATGGCACTCTAGATTGAAATTTAAGATAACGGTATTTTATTAAGCGAGAATGTCTAAAGCTGACATATCATATGTCATTCTATTCAGAATGTCATTTTCGATCGAATAAAGTAAAAAAATACCGAGGGTGCCATTTACAAATCAAAAGTTGTATTCATTTAGGGTGAAACAGGAAGTGACCAGAAACAATTGAAAACGTCAATTAATCCTAATTTATGTTATATACTAGCATACCAAATCTCGTTTTTTATCTGAAAAAATAAAAAAGTTATAGGGTGAGCCACTTTTGAGACGCACCCGGTACATAATTTAAAGTAAAGTGTTTTGGTTTATTGTGGTGAATTTTTTGTTAAATGTAGATACTAAATGTGCATCCAATCTGACAACATATGTTACTTTCTTAAGGAAGTGGGTTTTAGATGTCACATTTAGAAGATAGTTGCGTGATCTGTCAAAAAGCTCCATTTGTACCATTAATATCTTTATAATAATTATTACATTGCTTAAGATTCATAGAGAGATGAAAGATTTCAAAAAAGATTAATTTATGTATTATAGTCACGTATTTTTACTCTACATCCACGTGTAAAAAAATAAGGCACTTTCACCGTCGTTAACAATCTATTCTTAACTATCACACAACTTCAAGCATCATCGAACGTAATTAATCGATTAAATAATATCTTGATTGCACCCACTACAATACCAGAATAAATATAAATAATAAACATTATTCGATGTCGATGAATAAATACAGTCAGTTAATAATTTCTACCACATTTTAGGTTTAAATAAAAGAAATGTATATTCTTCAATAATAAGAATTGTGCATTTATGTAGGGTTGCCAACATTCAAAATAAAAAACATAGGATAAAAGGGTAAAAAAGAGGCAAAGGCAAAAAAGGGTGAAACATTTTTTGAAATCTCGCCCAAATGTCTAGAATTTACCAAAAAGTTATGTAAACGATATAGGTACAATTGATGATCTTTCTATATATATAACGGATTTCTACAGCTATTGCCGTTTCTCCGTCCCCAATTTCCATCCTTTCCTATCAAAAACCTCGTCTTCATATAAGTTTCTCGCGTTCATCACCTGATTGATGTCATCCCGCCAACTCCTTCTGGGCCGTCCTCTCTTTCTTCTTACCAAAGGCGTCCATTCTAATATCTTTCTGGGCCAACGATCATTCTCTTCACATGTCCATGTTAGTTGTCTTTTTTCTATGTCTTCGTGTATGTGTCTATCCATTTGCATCTGCATTCGGATGTCGTCGTTCCTTATTCTTTCTAGTTTTGATCGTCCGCAGCTTCTTCTTAAAGGATCCATTTCAGTTGCCATAAGTTTATTTTTATTGGCTTGTAACATCCCATATTTCCGAACCGTAGAGGGTTACACTTTGGACTAGGCTAGTATAAATGCGCTTTTTGTGGATCTTTTAATTTGTTTATTCGAGAGAAGGGAGTTCAATGTTCTGTTTACTGTTCTACCCTTATTTACTCTTTCTTGTATTTCATTTTCGCTGTTTCCTTTTTTATTAAATATTATTCCAAGGTATTTACTCGATTTCACTTCTTTTATCGTGCCAGTGTCTAAGATTAGGTCATTTATCTCTTCATTGCCTACTATAAGGTATTCACATTTCGAGAGATTCATCTGAAGAAATTTTCTGATCATATAACTGAGATCTTCTTCGTCTTCAGAAATAACTATCTGATCATCTGCGAAGAACAATGTAAATAATGTGTCATCCCCCACTCTTAGCCCCATATTTTTGCATTTTCTCACCCAATTCGCCAGAGCTCTGTTCAAGTAGATTTTGAACAGTGTAGGAGATAAGCAGCATCCTTCTCTTAATCCTTTTGTTGCGTTAAAAGAGTTGGTAACCTCATTTCCTATCTTAACCTTCTCCAGGGTGATTTTGAGAGTAAAAGCATTGTCCACAGTCGATCGCCCAGCTCGACAACCGGCGGGGGGCCCGGGCCCCATTTCCATATCTAGGACATGCTATCACGAATCAAGCAGAATCGGGCAATCCCGAACTAAGTTCTTATCTATCACATGTCTTCTTATCTACTTAACTAGCACACGCTATCGCGAAAATAACTTATTGCTTTACATTTGTTCTTGTGCAATTTTGTAGCTGTGTTTTCCTTTTTATTTTGCAAAATAAAAATAACTTGACAAAAAAAGAAATGTGCTGTATTGTCACTGGATTTCTGTACCATTGAATAGAAATAGAACTAAGCTAGTTGTAGCATCAAAAAGAGCATGACAAATTATACTGGTCAAACTAGTTAACTCAAAATCACAAAAAATCTAGTTACCTAATGGTTGTATTAAGGGGACGATAAGGCAGCTGAGTTACGAGAGGTGCCCGAAACTGCCACTTTTTTGGCAATTATTTCAATAGAAAATGAAGTTGCTCGAACAATAGACATTGGTAATATTGTGTCAACTTTCGCCCATGCTAAAGCAAGGATTTTTTTTTAACATGTTCATGTTCCTATTTACATTGTTTATTTTAATTTAGTTAGTTTTGTTGTTGTTTTTTGTATTGTTATTATTGATTTTTTTATTTATTTGATATTTTATATGTTTTGGGTTACATATTCTGTGTTGCAGTAATAAATAATACTATATAAAAATTAGTTTGATAATGTTATTTCTAACCTAAAATATGAGTGCATATTATTCAGATTAGTATATAAGTATTGAAATATGTAGGTGTAATAGGGGGCCCGGTAAATTTTTGCACACAGGCCCGTGAGTCTGTTGTTACGCCACTGATGACATACACTGCAGAAACTCGACCTGATATAGCGAAAACTGAACAACTACTAGAGATAACCGAAATGAGAGTACTAATAAGAATATAGCTGGAAAGACGCTTATGGACAGGGAGAAATGAAAGCATATAAGAAATGCATGCAAGGTGGAAAATGTAAATGAGTGGGTACTCAGCAGAAAGAAAGAATGGAACGAGCATATCAGCAGAATGGACAACAGAAGGATATTAGTGAGAGTTGCACGCGACAAATCATCGCTAGGTTGCAGAAGCTTTGGACGTCCACGAAAATAATGGAGTATTGTTTTTATAACAATGGAACTTGTCAGTCTGACAGGTAGAGACGACGAAACCAAAGAGGCGATTCGCATAGTATGAAGAAGGAAGAAGAAGAAGGACTTTCAAACAAAGTCGATTAAATAAAAATTCATAGCAGACCTTTTTTGAAGACCGTTCAATTTCCTCTCTCTATCTATCTATTCAGCCTCTTCGGTCCATCGTTGGACATAGGCCTCCCCCAATCTCTTCCACTCTTCCCTCTCTGTCGCCGTGCTCATCCATCTTGTGCCTGCATGTTTCCTCGGATCGTCCGCCCATCTCATCTGGGGTCTTCCTCTATTTCTTCTATTCTCCCAGGGCCTCCAGTTTACGATGCATTTGTTCCATCGATCATCCTTCTGTCTGACATTGTGACCGGCAAACTTCCATTTTAATTTTGCTACTTCACTTCTAACATCCCTTACTTTAGTTTTTCCTCTGATCCACTCATTCCTTTTTCTATCTACCAGCCTTATATGTAGCATTTGTCTTTCCATAGATCTTTGAGATTTTATTACCTTATCCATATTTGATTTTGTCAGTGTCACAGGTCTGGGATCCGTAAGTAAGTACAGGGAGTACACACTGATTATATACTTTGGTTTTGATGTACTGTGGATATCTTTTGTTTTTTAATATGTAACTTAATTTTCCAAATGCTGCCGAGGCCAGTCTTACTCGTCTCTTTATTTCAGCTGTTTGGTTTTCTTTTTTCAGTTTAATCATTTGTCCCAGATATATGTATATACTCTTCAACTTGTTCTATTTTTTCTTGGTTTATTCTGGTTGTTATGTTTTCATCTGTGTTTGTTATGATTTAAGTTTTAGTGTAGTTCATATTTAGGCCTATTCTTCTATCTGCTGTATCCAGTTCTTCCAGCATTTCTACCAGTTCTTCTTTCTTTTCTGTTATTAAGGCGATATCATCCGCATATCTTAGGTGATTCAAGTATTGTCCACATATTTTGATACCTTTTTTTCCCAGTCTAAATTTTTGAAAACGTCTTCTAATGCCTGGTTAAAGAGTTTAGGGGATATTGTATCACCCTGTCTGACACCTCTTCCTATGCGAATTGGCTTTGTTCCTTCGTGTTCAATTTCCTACAAGGTTTAAAAAATTCAAAAAAAATGTTTCCCCGTGTTATTTAAATGGGAAATAGAAAATCACGATGAGGCACCTCTTAATATTAATATTAAAAGCTCAAAATTTACCACAATTTTTTTTATCATCCTGAACGATATTTTTACGGGAACTAAAGAGATTTTTTTGGTACACCCTAATATATATATATATATATATATATATATATATATATATATATATATATATATATTGTTACGGATTCCGTGGGTCCACTATTTCTACTCACGATAAAATACTTAACGAATTTATTTTTTTCACTTTATACACAATTACTAACTTATAACACACAACAAACTAACTATTTATAAGATTCCTTCACCAAATTGTCCGATTTTCAATTTCCACACGGTATATTCAAATTTCAAAAACTCTCTCAGTTGTCGATGGCTCCGGCTTATATACTCTATTGACTCTCTCAGTTGTCGATGGCTCCGGCTTATATACTCTATTGACTGCTTCTCGAAATTTCCCCAATTCTCGGAAAGCGTACTTCTTCATACCAGACAATTCCATTGTCTGATTCCCTTACTTCTCAACTTGACTAAAGATGGCGCCTGAAAAGTCTTTTAATTTCTGGCGGATACGTTGCGGTTGTGCAGGCAACCAGTAATACATTTTTAATTTCTGGCGGATAGGCCATTTTTCTTGACATTGCCCCCTTCTCAAATTTGATCGTCCCGATCAAGGTTTCCTGTCTGATATCTCTTCAATCGATCCAGTGAACTACTTTCATCTTACTTCTAGGGCTGCGTTGAATCCGGTACACAACATCATTTATCCTCTTGATGACTGTATAAGGACCTTCCCATGCTGGAGTTAACTTTGGGGACCTCCCTTTCTTGCGCTGTGGGTTATATAACCATACCATATCGTCCTGTTGAAATCCCGTAGAATTAGCTCTGAGGTCGTAACGAGCTTTCATCCGGTCACTGGCTAGCGTAATCTTACTTCTCACGGCCTTATGAATTCCCAATAACCTTTCCTTCAGTTCATCCGCGTAGTCCTCTACGTTCGTGGTGCTGTCGTCTGGTGATCCGAACACCAAGTCACAAGGCAACCGTAATTCTCGACCAAATAAAATCTTCGATGGTGAAAGTCCGGTGGTGTTGTGAACTGCACTTCTATATGCCATTAGGAATAGTGGTATATGCTGATCCCAATCTCTTTGATGTTCATCCACCATTTTCGAGAGATGTTCTTCAATGGTCTTATTGAATCTCTCGACCATCCCATCAGACTGCGGATGTAAAGCTGTTGTCCTAGTCTTGTGAATACCAAGCAGATCACACATCTTCTGGAACAGTCTTGACTCGAAGTTCCTTCCTTGGTCAGTGTGAAGCTCTAAAGGAATTCCAAATCTACTGAAGACATTATTGACTAATACTTCAGCTACAGTCGATGCTTCTTGGTTTGGAATGGCAAAAACTTCTGGCCATTTACTGAAATAATCCATCGCCACTAAAACGTACTTGTTGCCCTTGTGCGTTTCAGGGAATGGGCCTGCAATGTCAACAGCGATTCTTTCGAATGGCAGTCCAACGTTATATTGTTTCATTTTTCCCCTAGATCGAGTGCTTGGTCCTTGGCTGGCTGCAAAAGTTTTACATGTCGACACCATTTCTTGACATCTTCGCAATAATCCACCCAGTAAAAACGATCTCTCAGCTTGCTCAAGGTCTTGTTTACTCCAAGATGGGCTCCAGTTTTACCACCGTGAATTTCTTCCAATACCTGGGTAACTTTCTTCCTTGGTACCAGTAACTGAGTTGTTACTGTCCTGCCATCTGCACTTTCCCACGTGCGCTTTAACAATCCATTCTCAATCACCCGTGAATTCCACTGAGCCCAGAGAGCTTTGAAAACCAGCCCTCTGTCCGCAATATCCTGCCACGGTGGTCTCTCGCCGTTACCTTCCTTGAGCCGTAGTATTGCTCCGATGTCTGGATCTTCCATTTGATCTTTCCTCAATTGTGCCGTCGTCCACTGTTCATCGGTTCCAAGTTTAAAACTCCTTATCATGACAGTGTCTTCACGTTGTTCCCTTTTACAGCAGTGCTTACAATCGGTTTGACAGGGTCTTCTGGATAAACCGTCTGCGTTACCATGCATTTTTCCAGC